AGCATTGCTGGGTGTGTGACAGGAGGTAGAGCCAGTCATTGTTAAAGCGAGGAATACAAGTATAAAGAAGGGGCATACACTCTCAGAACATTTAACTGACTTCTATTAGAAGAGCACAGTCCATTTGTCATCATCACAGACTCTTCAGGTTAGAGAACTTTTGTCGAATTATGCAGACGTCTTTTCGAAAGGAGATCATGACTTCGGCTGCACAGACCTTGTGGAGCACAGAATTAACACAGGCAATCACAGTCCAATAAAGATCTCTCCAAGAAGAATAGCTCCAGCAAAGCGAAAAGAGTTGGAGAAGGTCATGAATGGCTTAATTAAGAAAGGGATAGTCGAGACATCAGATAGTCCCTGGTCAGCTCCCGTTGTGTTAGTCCAGAAGAAGGATGGGACCCAAGGTTGCTGTGTGGACTTCAGAGCTCTTAACAGTATAACTGAAAAAGACTCATATCCACTGCCAAGAATTGATGATACTCTTGATGCCCTAAGTGGAGCCAGGTGGTTTTCAACTCTGGACTCAAAGTTAGGTTTCCATCAAGTAAAATTGGCTGAAGCAGATAAACCTAAGACTGCCTTTAGTTATGGCAAAGGTCTCTGGCAATACCATGTGATGCCATTCGGGCTTAGGAATGCTCCAGCAATATTTGAGAGGCTGATGGAAAGAGTACTGGAAGGCCTACAATGGAGGATAGCCCTAGTGTACCTGGATGATGTCATTGTATTTGCAACAACTTTTGATGAGGAAATGTCCCGGCTAGAGGAAGTATTCAAGAGTTTGAAATACAGAAAACCTCAAACTCCATCCCAAGAAATACCATTTGTTCCAGAAAGAGGTGCTTTACTTGGGTCACATTGTAAGTGAGCATGGTGTGCGAACTGATCCTGACAAGGTGAAAGCAGTGCATGATTGGCCAACACCAGACAATGTGGGAGAGTTTCATAGTAGACTTGTCTCTTCTTTGTTCCGTTGTTTTTTGGTGCAATGCCCATCTGTTTTTATGTGTAAGACACATTTTGTAGAACCTTCTAATAATACCGGTACGGAAATGGACATATTGTTGATTCTTTGTGTTCATGAATATTCCATAATCTTGGAGAATTGGCGGAAGTTTCACCATACGTAACTAACACGGTAAGCTAAACACGCCCTCAAATATAAACTTATTCGAAACAAACGTTGACATTAAAATAAATATATAACAAATTCGTTATACACAACACATATCTGATAATGCAAGTCACGCCTATTTTAAAATACAAATTCAAACAACGTTCATATTAAAAATAAATACATAATAATAAATTCATCCCAACTCCCTCCTTAGAGAATTAAAAATTGTCTTCAGACAATTTTTAATTAAGTCATTATATAATACACTATTTAAAGGATCATACAACTTCAATAATAATTGCATATATAATACAACCTGTACAAATCACCTTACCATAAAATTATATAGTACGTGAAAGTTCATCAGCACAAATGTTATCAACCCCTTTGACATGGATTATCTTCAAATTATACTCTTGTAATGACAAACTCCAATTCAACAGCCTTTTGTTTTTGCTCTTCATTCGTTTTAAAAACGTCAAAGGGTTCTGATCAGTGTAAATGACAATAGGTTGTTGTGATGCACATAAAGTATACATTGAAATGTTCTAAAGCTAACACTAGAGCCAATGTTTCTTTTTCTACCATACAATAATTCTTTTGATGACAATTAAACTTTTTAGAAAAATAACAAACAGGTTGTTCAATACCTTTGTCATCTTGTTGTAATAGAATAGCGCCAGCGCCACAATCGCTGGCGTCAACAGCCAATGCGAAAGGCTTACTAAAGTCAAGTGCCATCAGTATAGGGTAAGTGTATAACAAAGATTTGACCTTTTCAAAAGCAGATTGACATACCTCTGACCACATGAATTTTTTTATTTTTCTTTAAAAGGTTTGTTAATGATACAGTGATGTCCGCAAATTTTTACAAAACTTCCTGTAATAACCGGCCATTCCCAAAAATCTCATCAAACTTTTCTTGTTGGTAGGAGATGGATAATTCA